CGGGACGAGGGCTGCAGCCCCCGGAGCCGGGACGAAGGAGGTCGGCGGCGCCCGAGGGAGCCCGGCTCGCGCTCCGGAGTCTCGCCTCGCGCCGGCCCGGCTCCTCCACACGAGTTCGCGTTCTGCTGACTAACGGCCCCGGCGCGAGGCGCTGGAGCGGCCGCCGCCGCCTGCTCTCGGGCCTCACGTCCCGCGCGGCCGTGGTCGCAGCCGCCACCTCCCTTTCTGGCACTGCAGACACCACCCAAACCCAGCCAGGTCTTTCTTCTCTTTAATTCTCCTTTCTTCTCTCCTCCTCAGCCTGCCAGGCGCGGGGCTCGCTCCCGCAGCGAGAGGGAAACGGGATGGGAACCGAGGGGGCGAGCAGAGTCCTCTCCAAGCCAGGAGTTGGCCACTGACTGGAGGAAGGTGCCAAAGCTGACCCGGGCTCCAGCCTGCGAGCGGGCGAGGGGACGGACGGAGCGCAGACTTGCCCGGCTTCCACCAATTACAAGCCACCCAGCAGAGTCGGTAGCTCTCCGGGCTCTGGGAGAGGCTAAGCTGACTCGGCAGGAGGCGGGGATTGCGGTGAAGAAGAGCCAATAGGAGCAAAGTCTCCCCGCCCCTCCGCCTTGATGGACTGCCACGTTTGGACCAATGGGGGAATTCTCATTTCGAAGAAAGCGGGACTTGTTCGCCCGGTTTGAGGGAGAGGTTGTGAGGAGGGGGAGGGCTCGAGGCTGGGCCGCGTGGAGTAGCCTGGCCTGAGAGCAGGGAGGGCGGGAGGATGTCTCTGACCGCCTCAAGGAGTCACGTGGGTCGACCCGGGGCGGGGGCGGAAAGGCAGGATAAGTTTCTTCCGGGTCATTGACAGCAGCGTCTACACCGTGGGTAGTTGATCGGTCTTCCCTCCGTGTTTTTCCCCGTACGCGGCACAAGGTGGTTGTGGTTTCAGCGATGAGCTCCCAGAAGGGGAACGTGGCTCGTTCCAGGCCTCAGAAGCACCAGAATACGTTTAGCTTCAAAAATGACAAGTTTGATAAGAGTGTTCAGACCAAGGTAGGAATCTGCTTATTGCACTGACTCTGACTCCAGGAAGGAACGTTTCAGTGGAGCGGGGAGAGAGGAAATGAGAGGAGTTGGCGAGGGCGAGTGTGGACCGCAGCCCAGAGTTAGTCTTGGCTGCAGTGCAACTCTTTCTAACGTGTTATTCCCACGCCCTTCTTTGGACCTGCGTCTGTTGTCGTCTTGTAGACATGATGGTCAACACACTTTACTAGTTGCACAACGAGTGAACGGGACCCTCAACAAACCTAAGGTGCAAATGAGGAAATTGAGTCGTCGAACGCTTCTATCTGGATCACATATTTGCAGTGGAACGAGGATTGTAGCCTGAGTGTCTCTTTCAAATCTAGCATCAAGTTTATGCAGTTCGTATTTCTCTTTGGAAAACTCCAAGCCCTTAGGTTTGCAGGTATAATGAGAACGATTAAGGGCTCTTAGCCTCAGCGTCCTCACCAACATAATGGGAATCCAACATAGTGGGAATTTCTGTCTGTCTTGTAAGATTGTTTTGAGGATCATGTTATTTGATTAACGTGAAAATGCTTGTTTTGCTGTTTATGTCTTTTACTCTTCAGCGGGATTTCTGTAAATTGGAAGAAGATTTATTTTATTTTACTTTTTAATTGCTTATTCAATAAGTTTATTGTCTTTATTTGAAAAAATCATAGATAACTGTTTGGTTTAGTTTTCTTCAGCCCGCTCCTGAGCTCCGAGGAAGCTTGTCGTCTTTTGAGCTACCCGATCTTTCTTCTGGGAAAGGGACATTTTGGGACGGTTCCATCTCTTCTTTTTAACTTCTCTCTTGGGCTTCTTCCCATAGACTGGATTCTCTCGTATAGCAGCATGAGCTTTCTTAAACATCTCCTCGTCATGTCTGGAGTCACGTTGTTCTTTACGTATTGAGAGAATTGTTTCTTATAAACATCTTCATCTTCTTCCATTAAGTAACGCATATAAACTGCAACATTCTGACCCATGATGTGTTTCCGATGTACTTCTGCATTAAATTCCTTGCTCTCAGAATCATAATCAGGGAATCGTTTGGTACTGTGAGGGATAGACAAGCCTCCATCCACTGCACCCTTTAGGGCCCCAAAAACTTTATTGCCAGTGGTAGTTCTGGCAAGGCCTGCATCCAAACAGCAGGTGAAGGCACCAGGTCGACCATCAGTGCTTTCCACATTGTATTCATCTCCAGTCACCTCCACTTGGCCTTCATAGATCTTGTCCATGCCAAACCTATTGAGAAGCCTGTGGGCCAGCAGCAGACCCGTACAATACGCTGCAGCATAATTTGTCAGGCCAACTTTCACACCATATTTTGGTAGTTCATGTGCGTAAGCTGCACAGACTATCATATCCCCTTCTATACGGGCATAAGCAATCTGACAAACGATATCTCTGTTAGTCACACAAGCTATCATCCTGTATTTGGGTGTGTTGTACTTATTTTTATCCTGGATCACCAAGCGTTTCCTAGCATAGTAATCAGTTTTACCCTCTCGTCTTCTTCTAAATTTCACTTGGTATCTCTTAAAGTAGGCCTTATTCTTGACAACCTTAACAAACCCCATTCTGCGGAACACAGACCCGTGTCTGCGGCTCAGCACAGAGCTGCAGGGCCCGCAGCGCTAGATGGGGGGGGAAAAAGAGAAAAAAGTATTTTCTATCTTTGAAAGAAGCTTTGTTGTTTTAGTAAATTAATAGAAGTTTGAGGTCCTCTAACAGCTTATAAATCCATGGGTCAGGCTTAGATTCCTCTTTTGGTGTTTTTTTTTTTTTTTAATCTGTATGTGATAAGTTCAAGACTTAATATTGTCAAGCTTTAGGGAGGTGTGGGTGGTCAGTAAGACATCATAAGGACCCATCCATCTTAAAGTCAGTCGGTCTGGACCTTGGACTTGCCATGTCTTTAGCAGTGTTCTGTCTCTTGGGTTATAGGGGTGTAGAGGTTTGTCTGCTGGAAAAGCTGACCTGGAAAAGGCAAACTGATATAGAATAGTTAGAGTTTGACATAACTTACATGTGAAAGCTTACGTACAACAGTTATGTTTTATATCTAGAGAGAGAATCCCTAATATGGAGGCTTGGAAGGGTTTCCCATATATATAATTTTAAAACGACTTGATTTGAGTCTACTTTTAGGAGTCACCCTGCTATGAAGCAAGGCAGTGGGTAATGTTTTATCTCATTTCAGTTTAGTTTCCTGGCAAATTTTGGCTAGAGTTCTTGTGAACAAGAATTATTGTATTCTAATGTCCAGCTGCAAGCTATGCATTTAGAGTTAAAAGACTAAGAAAAGAAACCTTTTTAATTTAGAAGCTTAACAAAATGTTAAAGGCTGTTCAGGCTGTTACACCTATTGTTAATAGGTAAACCAGAGTAAAAAGCTGCACTATTCCAAATAGATGTCTGCATCTTTTCGTGTATTCTTATTCTAAGATTTTGCACAAACATTGGATTCTGATTATTTTTCATCAGATGATAAAACGTAGTTTTAGAAAGCATTTAGGGCTGACCAGTTTGCTCAGTTGTTTCGAGTACAGCCTTGTAACACCAAGGCTATGGGTTCAGATACCTGTACTGGCCAGCTGCCAAAAAATCCCCACAAAAACCTTCTAAACTACAGTGTAGCTGTTCTTAACTTGTACTGTACTTGTACTTTTCATTGTGTTTTCTTGTTGTTATCTAATAACTATGTCATTCTGGTCAAATGTTTTCATGGGTCTCAGATTCAGCCTTTAAGTTCCATTTTATCACTTAATCTTTAATTCCTTTCCCTCTTTTAAATCATAAGGTCTTATTTGTCAATTGGTAGGATCGCCAGGCACTTTGATACTGGAGCTTCTGATAAAAACAGCACGAGATATTTTACTGAGGAAAATCATTAGGTTGATTGTTCATCTCTGTAATGGAGAACTCATAATTGGCTGTGTTCACAGCAGATTCTTCAACCAGCTATATGCTAAAGCCAAGACTTTGTCAGAAGCACCTGACCCCATCTTTGCGCCTGTGCTTAACAAAGGAGTGGTGAGAACTGCATGGTTCTCTGTAACTCCCCTAAAGGATTGTAGTAACAATTGACTACTTTACCTTATTATTTGGTAGGGGTCCTGCACGATAGTTCTCGTTTTCCTTCTCTGCCAAGCAGTTGGTCAGGACTTCACTGTTTTATTTTTGGAAGTTTATGTAGGTAAAGCACTCATTCTCATAGGATACAGGTGATAGTTTTTTACACACACACACACACACACACACACACACACACACACACACACACACACACACGCTTGAATATATTCTAGAGGGGGAGATGAGCTTGTTGTATGCATTCTAAATGACCAAACTTGGAAAAGGGTCAAAGTAGTAAAAGTAGGTTTCAGCACAATATGATGGAATTGTCTAGCTGTGAAGGAGCTTGCACTCGACTTTTGTAACCTCTCCTTCACTGGGGTTATTTAAAAGAGACTCGTATGGACACTGGTTAGCAATGCCTTCAAATGATTGAAGAGGGTTAGGAGGGGTAGATGGGAATAGATTTAAATATCTGCTCTAGTCATTTGATATGAAAATGTTGATTCTGCCAAGGCAGCCTTGTTTCTCTTACTGGAGAGGCAGTGATGTGTGATGAAAAAGAACATTGAAAGAGATAAAAGAGCCACATTTTAGCCACAGTTCTGTCATTTGTTTAGCTTTGTGATGTCAGGCAACTTACCTATAGTTTTTAATCTACAGCACTGAGTTAATATTGTCTCTTGTCTTACTTTCCTCTCAGGATTGCTGTGGGGATTATTACAAAAATATTTTTGAGAAATAAGGATACAATTATTAACTAAGCATAAGCATATAATAATTTATGTGGACCTGCAGTTGCTCAAAGGCTAAAATAATTAATTAAGAAATGCATACTTGGGGCCGGCCCAGTGGCACACTGCTATAGTGCACCACTTGGGAAGCGCGGCAGCGCTCCCGCTGAGGGTTCGGATCCCACATCCGGACCGGTTCCCGCTCACTGGCTGAGCGAGGCGCGGGAGCAACACCGAGGGCTGCGATCCCGTTGCCGGTCCCTGTCCGGTACGGGGGCGACACTGAGGGTTGCGATCCGTTGCCGGACACGGAAAAAAAAAAAAAAAAAAAAAAAAAAAAAAAAAAAAAGAAATGCATACTTGTTGAAGAATACTAAAACAATTAGAGAAGTGTGTGAAGTATAAAAGTGAAAGTCTCCATTCCCAGTCTTACTGTGTAGTCACTGTTAAGTTTGCTGCATATGTTTCTAGACATCTATCTATGTACAGTGCAGTGCATCTGTAATAAAAAAACATTTTTTTCCTTCTCACTCATTCAGTAAAGTGGGTATGTCAGAACATAGAGATTAAGCTCATTCTCTTTAATGGCTGTATAATATTGTGTAGTATAAAAGTAGGGTAACTTATTACTTTCCTATTAATAAACATTTGAATTGTTTTCAGGTGTTTTTTTTTTATTAAAGATGATCGGTAAGGGGATTTTAACCCTTGACTTGGTGTCGTCAGCACCATGCTCACCCAGTGAGCTAACCAGCCATCCCTATATGGGATCTGAACCCCTAGCCTTGGTGTTATCAGCATGATACTCTCCCAAGTGAGCCGTGGGCCGGCCCTCAGTTTTTCAGTATGCCAAAAAAGCTGCAGTGAAATGCTTGTATTCACTTATTTATTCCACAAATACTATCTGGTACTGCAGTGGATTGAATTATGTCATCCCAAAACTTATAGAAGCTTGAATTGTGTCCCCCAAGTTTTATGTATTAGAAACTTAGCCCTCACTGTGACTGTTAAGAGGGTGGGAGATCCCATTACGCTAACTATAAGGTGGGGCCTTGAAGAGGTGATTGGGTTGTAGGAGCTTGCAGTAGTGAACGGATTAAAAATGGTGGTGAGGGGCGTGGTTCTGAGGGCTTTAAAAGAAGAGGAGAGTCTGTCTCTCTGTTCTCTCTGCTTCCACCGTCTTGCAAT